CAGTAGTGTGCTAGCACATCTATTAGGTTTTAGCAGGGCTTTGTAGTCAACCACTGTTCCAAAGCATTCCTACAGAAATCATAATTTCTCCACAAAAATCAGCACTTAGGTTTATTAATCTATTGCAGACGATGTTTGTTACCAGTACAGAACCCAGAGCAGAACTGAACTCACAACTAGCTGTGCTATGGATGCACACCTGTCGATGGCAGACACAAAAGCAAATGACAGGCAGGTAATGATCTAGAGCCACACCCCTAGGATAATTATTTATAGTAATCTTCCCTTCACAGAACAAATCCTTAGTTTGTCACACATGGCCCCACGGCCCCTCCAAGCAGAAGCCACCCCTGTCCCCCCTCAGAGCCACTGTCAGTCACTATGAAGAGAGAAATTTCACAGCACAAATAGCTGCAAACCATTTTCTAAGCAGCGTGGAGAGAGACCTCTGACACCAGAAGACAGGAGTAATTGAGAACTAATAAAACCTTTCATCTACCATGATGAACCATAACGGCCTAAGTCTTAATACATTCAGATATAATCCCTCAACAACTTCTCAGTACAGTTTCACTTATTTGTGACAAGACTAAATAGTTCATAAGAAAGGTGAGGTTCTGCCTTTTCCACACCAGGTAGTGTGTAGAATCCTGATACAGCATCACAGCAAGTGACTGCGGATTCCAAGACGTCACCATTTGCAGGATTATTATGTACAGTGAAATCTTTCTGTTCAAGGCCTTTTCTGCTGATGCAGGCCTTCCAAAATACTCACAGAAGCATGAAAGTGATGAGTGTTACCATACACCTGTGCTAGAATACTCACAGTCACTGCACACAACACTAACCACATAAAATGTCCAAAAAGTGGCAAAACTCCCTCAGAACCGTCGCAGTGGTCTCCCATGGTTACAGCAAAACAGCAAATAAAATACTTGGAAAACTGAAGCAGTTTTGTGCCAGTCAAATATGTACACAGAAATGTCATATTCCAATTTTTCTCACTGCTAAATACAGGAAGTTAGAGAATCAGGTAAGGAAGAGGCAAAATCATTCAGCTGCAGTTATAGTTGCACACACACAAAAAAATGTAACTTCTTCAGCTCAGAATCCAGAAGGCTGCATAAAACATATTGCAGGATGACATGCTACAAGCATATTAATTTTTTCTCACGTATTAGTTTTGGATATAGGGAAAGTTTCTCCAAGAAGCTGCTGGACTCAAATAGTTAAGATTCACAGTGTAGCAGCCAGGTCCCTATTTTCAGCACAACAAACAATTCAAATATACTACGCCTTCACACGTCAAACAGCACTGAACAATACCTGATTAGAAATTAGATGCCAAATAACATTTCTACTTTTAACAGCTGCATCCTGCAGACTGCCCAGGGGCTTAACCTAGGGAGACCGCTGCTTTCTCAGAAGTGAGATGGACACATTTAGCAAGATAACCAAAAGAAAACTCATGAGCTGCTCATGATTCCTGAGCCAGTAATGACATAAACACAAACCAAGGTGATGGAAAAGGCTTAGATGGACACTCTTTTTTTTCAAGAGTGCACAATATTCAACAGTGATTTACAATATGCAGCCAGGAGTCCAAATCCCTTGAGGTACTGATCTCTTGCAAGACTACTTACTGCTGTTCACAAGAAATCAACCAGCAGAATCAGCCCTTTCACTAATGGAGATGCACCACTACTACAGACCTACAGTCCTCAGAGTGCAAAGAGCATTTGTGTCTGGGAATCTGTTCCTCAGGCAGGCCAAATGGGCTGCCCTGAGACATGCTGGAAGCTGTAAGAACACTTCCCACCCACATGGACTGCCTGGACAGCCAGAGACACCCAGATGTCACTGCCTGAGGCGCTGAGGAGCACAACCATTTCTTGTAATCAAAACAGATAAAGGAAGGGACTGTACCACCTCCAGAGCAGAGACTACACCTGGGGCAAGGAAACAAGCATTGTCCATTTGTCATGGGTTTGTATCTGGAACGTGAAACCAAGGCAGAAGGGCTTGAGAGCACTATGGGAATCTTTGTAGAGACCAGCAACAGCACGCTTAAGTATGACAAAACATGGCACAGCTTTGAAGGATGGAGAAAAAAGCACTGAGGCTCCAGAGAACTTGAAATGAATTGTTTTTTTACAGTGACACTTAAGCACCCTACATATTCGCAGTTACTGAAACCGAACCACACAGATCAAAGCTGTGTAAGTGGACCTGGTATCACTCTTTGAGCATCACACAGTGACCAACATTCATGCAAAAGATCAAAACAAAAGCTAACTGATACAGAGAGGGAAAAAACAGCAATTAATTGACTTACTAACTCTAAGAATAAACTGCAGAACCCATAACTGAAGATATAGGGACACCATAGGGAAAACAGAGTAGTGATCCACTTTAGAAGACAGCAATGGAAGAAACCAGCACCTGAAGCAAACCCAGCAGCACACCTAAGCCTTGCCATGTGTTGCAGACCACGAAGTGCTTAGGTCATCCATTCTCATACTGTTGCGGAGCAGCACCCTCTTGCAACACCAACAAAACCCAACCTCACATGGGAGCCAGAGCATGGGGCAGGCTGCTCAGGGAGTGCATGTATGAGTTCTCTGAGAGGCAACACATTGTGCTGAAAGCCAGGAGGGTAAAGGGATAACACACAGTGTTTGCTGGCTTAAGGACTGGCTAGTTACAATCAGTAGGGATAACAGGGATTGCCTGTGTCTGAGGATGCACCCACTTCCTGAGCATTGCCAATATGTTCTGGCTGGAGCACTACCAAAGGGAGAGGAACAGGCACTGAGCACTGCACAGCCTTCATCTGCCCTGCCCACCCAGCCCCGCGCTCATCTGCTGATCTAAGAACTGAAACAGAGCTGCCCACACACATAACTTCTGCATATTTTTCCAAGGCTCTTTAACAAGAAGTACACTTGGTACACGTGCAGTGAAGGCGAGCACCTCACGTCAGTGGATTTCCCCAGAGCATGACCTCTCTCACTGGGGAAAGCACAGAAGGGTGGGGAAAAAACAGCTTCTATCAACTTCTCAGTCTTGCAGCAACTTCACAGATGGGTGATACCTGCTACATAGTGAAAACTGCCTTTTGCCTTGCTATCATGCAGCAGGTGCTGCTACAGACTGTAGCTACCCAGCTCAGAACACCTGTAAGGAAGTCTTCAAACCCATGTAAAGATGAGAATTGTTTTGTTAGAGAATCTATTCATTGGTATTCCCAAAGCTACCCTAAAACCAGCAAAAGATACCATTACACTCAAGCACTTAAAACCCCAGAATGGGCTCTGATGATGTGATTTAACAGTTACAAAATTATTGATATGGCTTCTACCTAATTTGCATATGCACTGGGAAAAGAAATACCCTTAGAGCATCCTGGCTTGCAACACCCCAATTCTGATGCATTGGCATATCACCTTACGCCTATGCTGTGACCACACACCAAACGTGCTGAACTTTGGGAAGAGACAGCACTAAGAGCACTAAGAGCGAAAGAAACGCAAGTCCATCCCAGGCCCTCTTCTTGAATTTCAAAGCGCAGGCTCCAGGAGAGACAACACAGGTGTTCAGCAGCTGCTGGTGAGGCTGAGCAGACCAGAAAGACGGCTGCACCATGGGATGCCCGTGTTCCCCACCACAGGATGCCCTTGTCGAGCTCCACATCCGGGCCCCAGCGAAGTGATACTGGAGAGGTGTGGGCTCTGCTCCACAGAAGGACCTGCTCAGGAGCTCTGCTCTTAATGGTGGCCTCCACACTCCGACAGACGGCTCCAGGGCTGCGCGGGGATGCTCAAAGCACACAAGTGCACAGAAGCAAGGCAAGCAGAAGCACCGAGCAGGGGATCTACAGCTTTCCAAAACTTGTTGAGGATTATGTCGAAGCAATCAGAGGAAAAAGTCCCTGTGCTGTTCCCTTCAGCTAGTGAAATCTTGACAAATAAATAAACTGCCTCAGTTCTTCCCAACCAGAAGCGTGTTCCACATTCCAGCACTGACTCTTTCCATCTCCGGAATATTGCAAAAAGGTTCTTCAGAGCAAAGTAGACCAAGAGGAAATGTATACAGATCTTTACTGAAAAATAAATCTATGTCTCCGTAGTAGTTCTGCAATTTATTCAAACAGCATACAACAGAATTGCCATTTTATAGCGAATCCGCCCCAAATCTGAGCCCTTTTCTGTATAGCACTTAATTGTTGCTATACTATGTAAAGAGCAAACACTACTGGAATGTACACAGTGAAAGAAAAGGAGTAAAGCTCTTCTTGCCAAGGAACTGCTATCACTACTAACACGTTATCTATAAAAATAAGGTCTAGGCAACATCCAAAAGTGTTCAAGTTTCAATAAATAACTATCAATGCCCCAGATTCGCACTGGCACAAGAAATACAGAGCTAACAGCTGAGAAATGTCCTTTCCTACAGCTGAACCAGCAACACGTCCTGTCCTGCTCCGGACTTAACACCGCTCTCCTTCAGGTTCAGTCTCAGTGCGTGAGCACCCACCTGGATGACTGAGCTCTCAATGGCAAATTAAAGCTCTAGAGAAAGACAGTAGTTAAAAAAAATCTTTATCAATGCCAAGAAAATATACAGAGCCATATTATGCTTTAAATATACCTATATACACACACATCTTTTCCAGAGGGCACAATTCTGGCCTTTTTTTTTTTTTTTTTTTTTTCCTCTTTTCCTTTTTCTTCAAACTCTGAGAAGCTTATCGATTGCTATACACTCCGGTATGGCGCATTAGGAAACATATATATATAGAGATATATATATATTATTATTTTTTATCCCCACGTGAAAGTAAAGTTCAGTCTTTCTGTAAACAGGAGTTACCTTAACCTCCGACACCTCCACAGGCCTCGCGCACTCCGCCCGGCGCACAGCCCCGGCTCGCACAGTGGCCGCGGAAATCAACGGGCGCGGCGGCCCCGCTCCCTCTCTCCCGCTCCCCCGGCCACTCCTCAGCAGGCGCCTGCCTCGGGCGCGGTGGCGGCGGCGGCCTCCGGGGGCGGCTCGCGGGGCGGCGGCCCGGAGGGAGCGGCGGCGTTGATGTGGCAGCCGGAGGAGAGGTGGCTGCGGACGCGGCCTTGCAGCTGAGTGACCTGTGCGCGCAGCAGGTTGGCGGTGGCGGCCAGCTCGGCGTTCTGCCCCTTCAGCGCCTTCACCTTCTCCTCCAGCCGGGCGATGCGCTCCAGCTTCCTCCGGCGGCACTTGGAGGCCGCGATGCGGTTCCGAAGCCGTTTGCGCTCCGCCTTCAGGCGCTCCTGGCTCTCCGCGTCCAGCGGCGACAGCGACGGCGGCGTCGGGGCGCTGCCTCCTCCCTCCCCGCTGGCGGCGGGCGGCACGTCGGGCACAGTCTGCGGCTCCTCCAGGGCTCGCGGCGCCGGCAGCCGCCCCGCGCCTATCCCCGCCGGCCCGAACGGCAACCCCGGCGGCGGCGGCGGCGGCGGAGGGGGGGGGGGGCGGCGGCGGCGGCGCGGAGGCAGCAGGATAGGCGCTGCCCGAGGGGCTGAGCGGCCCCGCGGGGGTGAAGCCGCTCAGGTTGGTGTAGACGGCAGGCGGCTCGGCGGCGGCGGCACCGGGGCGGGCCGGGCAGCAGGGCCCCGGCGGGGAGAGCGGCGGCGCGGTCAGCAGCTGGTTCTGCTTGTGCAGGTCGGCCAGGGCCTTGACAAAGCCGTCAGCAAAGCCCTCCTGCTCCTGCGTCACCGGCTGTCGGTAGAGGAACGTTCCCGCCGCCGCCGGCCCGCCGGCCCCCCCGGCCGCCGCCGGTCCCGGGCTGCCGGGCCCCAGCCCCGCGCCACCCTGGATGAGCAGCTGCTCCAGGTCGGCGGCCGGCGGCAGCTTCAGCAAAGGCAGCTCTGCCGCCGAGCCCAGCGCGGCCTCCGGTCCGCCGCGATTCGCCGCCGACCCGGCGCCGGCTCCCGGCGCCGAGCCCTGCGCCGAGCCCGGGGGCGGCGGCGGGGCGGCGGAGGGTGGCAGCAGACGCAGGGCGGCCGCGCTCCCACGGGCGCTGCCGGGTGGGCGCAAGGCGAAGGGCCCGGGCAGCGGCGAGGGGGCAGCGGGCGGCAGGTCGCGCTTCTTGCCGGCACCCAGCAGCAGCTTCGGACCAGCCGCCGCCTCGGCGCCGGGCCCTGCGGCGGCGGCGAAACCCGGCAGCGGCACGAAGTCGGGCAGCAGCTCCAGCCCTTCCTCGGGGTAGAACGGCGCCTCCATCTTCACGGCGGCTCTCCCGCTCCGCCCGCCGCTCATGCTGCCGGCCGGCCGGGGCGCGGCGCGGCGCTCCCCGGTGCCCGCCCTGTGGCGGCGGCGGCTACGGGGCGCGGCGCGACTCGGCTCTGCTCGGCGGGGGCCCGCAGCCCTCGGCTCTCAGCGGCGACTGAGCCGCCTCCCGGCGCCACCGGCCCTACGCCCCGCCCCGGGCCCGCCGTCTGCCCGCCCCGCCGCCGCCGCCGCCGCCGCCTCCCCCGAGCTCCCCGCCGCCGGCCCCCGGCTCGGAGGGGCTGTGCGAGGCTCCGCGAGGGGCCGCGTTCGGCAATTCGGTCCTCGGCCGTAAGCTGTCTCATCACCCTTCTCTCCGTCCATCTCTGAGGGGGGTCCCGGACCCGATCCTGGAGCCGCCTCCCGCGGCTCCTGCCCGGACTTTGCCCCCACGCAGGGTGCGCCACGGGGCGCTGTCCGCACCACTGGCCGGCCGCGGGCCTGTCATCGGCGCCCGCTTCCTGCCCCCCGCGGGGACAGCGAGGTCGGGACAGGGAAGAGGCGGCGGGAGCCCGGGCTCTGTGGCGCTCCGGGGGCCGTGGGGATCGGCCTCGAAATTCCGCGCCGGGAACGGCCAGCTGCTGCGGAGCGGCGTTGGTCAATGGAGTAATACAGGGCAGCGGTGCGACGGAGCGCAACTTACATTAACTTTTTGTAACCCGACGCGCTGATTTATTGTTAGCGCACATGCAACACTGGAGGACGGGTCACCCATCCCGACTATCCGCACCCCTCCCGCCCTGGGGGCGCTCTGCCTCCACACCGCAGCCGCCCCTGAGGTGGTTCCGGAGCGAGGGGCGAGAACAAGTTCAAGCACCGCTCTGATTGGAAGGTCCGCCTCATGAAGCTCCGCCCCCCGCGAAAGGACCCACCAATGGGCACGGGCGGCGCGCCGTAGCACCGCGAGAGTTGCGCTGAAGCTGGTGCCGCCATCTTGGAGTTGGGAGAGGCCGCGTCCCGTTGCTGTCCCTCTCGGAGGGTCGTTAGCGGGGGGGGAGGGGGGAGGATGGTAGCCCGACGGTGAGCGAACGGCACCCGGGAGTCCCTCCTCGCGCCGCCGAGCGGCGGCGACCGCGGGGCTGGCGGGATGGTGCAGTCGTGTTCCGCCTACCGCTGCCGGAACCGATACGACAAAGAGAAGCCCATCTCCTTCCACAAGTGAGCACGGGCGGTGGGGCGGGGCGGGGCGCGGCGCGGCGCCAGGGCGGGGCCAGGGCAGCGAGTGCGCGGCCTCCTGACGCAAGGGGGCGCTCGGCGGCGGGGACGCAAGGGGGCGCTCGGCGGCGGGGACGCGCGGGGCTGGCTCCGCCGTCGGTGTGAGGGGCGCCTCGGGGCGGGCCGGGCGTGGCGCGTGGGTGTACGCCGCTGCGCCCCAGGCTGGCGGAGCAAGCGCTTCTGAGAAACGCTGAGAGTGGCTCTTGTCGTCAGGTTTCCTTTGACCAGGCCCGATCTATGCAAGAAATGGGAGGCGGCGGTGAAAAGGAAAAACTTCAAGCCCACCAAGTACAGCAGCATCTGCTCGGAGCACTTCACACCCGACTGCTTCAAGCGGGAGTGCAACAACAAGCTGCTGAAGGAAAACGCTGTGCCCACTATATTCTGTTACACTGAGCCCAGTGAAAAGGTAAACGCACGCTGCTCACAGCCCGAGGTGCCAGAGTGCGGTTGCTGATCTGTCTGTAAGGCCATCTGCCATCACAGCAGTTCTGATACTGGTTCTTCTTTCCTGACGTAACTACTGCAGGCTGACATCTTGTCATTAACTACGTTAGGTAGGGCTTTGGTCATACATGACCAGACCGCCCCCAAAATTTGACAGATAATCCAAGTCCTTGCACCTCTTGAGGACTGATGGCCCATTCTTTCTCCTGTAAATAAGAAGACAGAGCTTCATGCGTTCTCTGTTGCAGATAGAGCTGCAGAGGCTAGTATTAAATTGTCAGTATTATGTTATAGCTTCACATCAGGTGGCTTGTCCTCGTTAGCCAGATGCTGAGCTACTAAGCTGTGGCTACAGGTAGGACTATACAGATATCTCTGTGAAATAAACTGGAAAGTCCAGCCTCCTACAAAATAACACCAATTGTAGAATTGTATTATAATTCAGAGTACCATTTACTAGCCAGTTTTCTTAATCTTCTGGAGTGTACTTTGGCCACCACTGATTGTATACAGCATCTAAAAATCTGATACAGTATCTAAAACTAGTGCCTCTGTGTTGAACATATTAAGGCAGCTTACTTGTGTTTCCAAGCTAACACCAGCCCTTTCTCACAGGCTTGTCACCTGTTCAGGCTGTCATCTTTATTTTCCCACACAGTGTACAATATTGGATTTGATGCAGAAATATAAAAGGAACATCTAGAAAATAAAAGTGGAAATAACAGACAAGAGACCATAACGCAAGGTATCAAGTGAAACACGGACAATTTTCAGGTCCACTTTTCTGTATTATGTCTTGTCTGATAATGCTTTCCCACAGTCTGAGCAACACACTTCCTGTGTCACTTAAAATAGTTTGCAAAACTTCTTGCAGTGTCAAAGCTGAATGTGTGTGTAGGGAAATCTGCTAATGTGACATCCGTGCGGCTGGGGTAGTGTTAAGCCACATTCTCTCATTCATTGCAGTGCCTGGCTATGTGAACACACAAAAGAATGACTCCTTATGGAGAAGCAGTTGGTGCTGTTCCTATTTATGTCACAGCAACTTTCAGTGTATCTTCAAGACGCTGAATAGTAGTGAAGGAGGAGGATATTTTTTTAAAATTGAATTCCTACTGATTTTGAAATACATCATTTTTTGCATTATGATTCTTGAAATACCTTCTAAATCTTTTTTTTTTTTTTTTAGTTATGTCTTAGGAGAACCATTTATTGGATGTAAGAAGGAATAAGAATTCATTTGTGACATGTAAGCAATATGAATAATGAGTTCTCTGTGACACATTGTGACAGCAGTAACTCAGTGTGTGCTGCATAACTCGTGAATAGATGCCTCTGTCTGAATCCAGCTGTCTGGCAACAATGCAGTTTTTGCTTGTGCACTCTCTGCACATTATGTCTTTGGTTTGTCAACTTAGCTGAAAATTTTGAAAGCTATAGGTTGAACTTTTTAGAATACTGACATGTGATTTGGGTGGGTACATCTAGATCATCCACTTCTTATAACTGAAAACTAACACAGGCAGTTGGCTGGTTTTGTACTTTAAGGTGATCAGTAATACCTGAGCACTGATGAAACTTCTCCTCAATACCAAATGCAGAATTGCATTCTCAGTTCCTTTACCTAATGTAGTCTGTACAAGGATGATATCTGGACCTCCCAAGTTGAGTGTTGGTTTGTCTTTACATTAACGCAAGGAATTTAATGATGTGATCTTCCAGTCTGATGAGGGGACAGTTGGTGGCTGTTAAAATTGATGTTGTGAATGTCTTCATGCTTTTATTTGTAGTAATAATGCTGGGGACGGGGAGTTAAAAATGGGTTTCAGTGTCTCACTGGGACTTTCTTAGGCTTTTATTTATTTATTTATGTGTTTACCACTCATATGCACTATGTGTGCATTTCTGAATTAAGTATGTTCCTTTGGGGCAGAAAGAATCAGATTTCTCTTTGGCCTCCTCCCAAGTGATGAGAGGTATGCATTGTCCTGAACCATGCAAGTGTCTGAACCTATTTAGAGCAGTATGTTGAAGTCTGTAGTATGACTGGGCCTGAGTTCATTTGGTGTTCTGCTCTATCCCATCTGCCAGCCACCCAGTCCTGTTTTCTTATTCCTTCCGTATGCCGTCTCTCATTGCATGGCTTTGACTTTAATGCAGAACAGAACTTTCTTGCGGTGATGGTGGAAGAGTGAATAGCTTTCTGTCATCTTAGCAAAATCCTGTGTTTCAGAAAGTGGGTTAATAGCAGAGCTGGGAGAGCTGTTTATTTTGGCTCATCACATCACCAAACCCTTCTGCTACAATCTCAAAATAATGTGGTGGTCAGCCCTAGCTGTGAGGAGGCAGGTCTTCCTGTGCCTACCTTCTCTGCTCTGCCAACTTGTTCGCCTCCCTTGGCGCAATGGTTCTTAATCTGCCCTAACAGAAGATTCTCCAGTTCTGCTGCGTTCCTGGTTAAATTAGCTGACAAGTTCAAAGTGCACGTGGTCGGATGCAGTAGAAAGAAAGAGGGAATGGGATAGCCTGGATGAGCTACCAGGTCAGCTGAACTCTTTTTCACAGAACTGCATCCAGGATCCTCAGCTAATCCTGGATATCTATTTCACATATCCTCAAAAGTGAGAATGACTTCGGGGCTCTTCAGTTTCAGATTTGTTCTAGATATCAAGGATTTGAGTTTCAAAAGAGAGTGGAAATGAAGTTTCTTAAAATACCTCAATTCAGAAAACAGACAAAATGAGCCAGTTTTGAAAGCTTAGGCTTTGAAATGTGTGGTGGGTTTTTTTAATTGTTTCTTTAAATTTTAGTCCTAGTTGTTTACACCGTAGTTGCCTGTACTAATGGAGTTGTTTTGCTAAAAAATGTTATGGTTACAAATGTACTTTTTTGTTTGTTGTAGCCTGAGGAATTTTCAGAGCAGCCAGATGATCCGCTTCCACCACCGCCACCGCCGCCGCCTCCACCGCCACCGCCGCCACCGCCACCACCTGCAGCTCCCATGCTACCGCCGTCTCCATCAGCTCCTTCTTTTCATTTATCTCAGATAGATGCCAGATTTGTAGATCCAAGTATCGGATTATTGATGCCTCCTCTCCAGACGCCTAGCAATCTTGCTGTTTTTTGTGATCACAATTATACCGTAGAGGATACAGTTCATCAGCGAAAAAGAATTCAGCAGCTAGAGGAACAAGTTGAAAAACTGCGAAAGAAGCTCAAGACGGCGCAACAGCGATGCCGACGTCAGGAGAGACAAATTGAAAAACTGAGAGAGATTGTTCAGTTTCAGAAAGAAAAAGACATCCTGGCAGGAAAAGGCTATGTGATTCTGCCCAATGACTATTTTGAAGTTGTAGAAGTTCCTGCATAAAAGTCATGAGCGTCCATCTCCACTTGGCTAGGCTAAGAAGTTTAGTTTAAAAACTCAATGCTCTCGAATTCTGTTTGGGAGACTCTTCCAGAATCCTAAATCAGCAAATAAGCTGTCATGCATAGGAGATCACATTTTTTAATTTGTTTTCATTTAAGTTTGATATGTTTTTTAATGTACTGAAATTGGAAACATCTCAGAATTAGGATGCACATTTATTTTTTGAAATAGGAATTGCTTTGCAGAAGGAAAGGATGCATGGTTAAATACACTTAAAATCTGTACTTCTCTCTCTCTCTCTCTCTCTCTCTCTCCCCCTCTCTCTGTCTTTCTTTTTTTTTTACAATGGTTATCTTATACTTGCATAGGCTGAAAGTGAAGCTGAGGTTGTTCTACACTTAATACAAAACTGTATCAAGGCATTTAATGTTTGCATAGGTGGTCCCCACAAAATACGATTTTTTTAAGCCAGCTGAGTACCTGCAAATGCTGCTTTGTATAGAGAAAAGTAAGATACATATATATGTGTGTATATATATTTCAGACTGGGAACACTTCTAACCAATTGTTACGCCTTCAAAATACTGCAAAAAGTCTAATTCCTAGATCCCTTTGGTGTGTAAATGAGCCTTTTCTTTTGGAGTATGTGTGGAGACTGAGAAGGGGAGATTTCATTAGTATGGCTGACTAGAGCTATAGGAGTTTTTGCTTTAAGTACACTTACAGACCTTGCTGAAATACAGTGCTGCTCTGAACATGCATGTTGTCACATTATTGGCAGGATCAGGAAGGTGGTGTACTGTTCAGGGTGACTGCTTTCTAAAGTGTCCTAATAATATGCAGTTCCCAGTATACTGGAATATGCCACTCTCATAAGCACTGTAAGGGTAGAACGTTGTCCTTGTCTGTCATTGATGCACATTTCAGCCAGCATGGGCTCATGAAAGGCCTGCTTGACCAATCTGATCTCTGTGACCAGATGACCTGCTTGGTGGACAGTGGAAAGGCTGTTGTCATAGTCTACCTAGACTTCAGCAAAGCTGCTGACGCTGTCTCCCACAATGTTCTCCTGCAGAAGCTGGCAGCTTGTGGTTTAGACATGTACACTCTTTGCTGGGTAAAGAACTGGCTGGTTGGCCGAGCTCTAAGAATGGTGGTGAATGGAGTTAAATCCAAATGGTGATTGGTCAGGAGTTGTGTTCCCCAGGGGTTGGTACTGGGGCGTGTTCTGTTCAGTATCTTGATTGATGGCCTGAATGAGGGGATTGAGAGCACGCTCTGTAAGACTGGCTGGAAGACTGTTTGGAGGAAAAGGACCAGGGGGTGTTGATCGGCACTTGGCTGTATGTGAGCCAGTTGCGTGCTCAGGTGGCCAAGAAGGCCAGTGGCTTCCTGTCTTGTATCAGAAACAGTGCAGCCAGCAGGAGCAGGGAAGTGATTGTTTCCCTGTATTCAGCTCTGGTGAGGCCGTACTGTGTTCAGTTTTAGACTCCTTACTACAAAAAAACGTTGAGGCCCTGGAGGTTGTTCAGAGGAGAGCAGCGAAGCTATGAGGGGTCTGGAGCACAGGTCTTATGGGGAGTGGCTGTAGGAACTGGGATTGTTCAGTCTGGAGAAGAGGAGGCTCAGAGGAGACCTTACTGCTCTCTACAACTGCCCGAAAGGAGATTGTAGTGAGATGGGGGAGAGCCTCTTCTAGGTAGGATAGACAGGAATAGCCTCACGTACTGCCAGGAGAGATTCAGGTTGGATATTAGGAAAAACTTATTTTCAGAAAGAGTGGTGATGCAGTGGCACGGGCTGCCCAAGGAAGTGGTGGAGTCACTGTCCATGGAGGTGTTCAAGAACTGTGGATGTGGCACTGAAGGACATAGTTTAGTGGGCAACATTGATGGTAGGTGGATGGTTGCACTAGATGATCTTAGGCATCTTTTCCAACCTTAGTGATTCTATGATTCTGTTATCTCAAAATGTGTGTAGCTTCAGGAATGAAGGTTTTTTTTTTTTCCTCTGGAGTACTGGACATTTGCTACTTTCATTATACCATACTACAGTTTTCTTTCTATCCACCCCTCCCTTTTTTTAATTCCCCCAAAGTCCACCATTGGGCAGCAGTGGATTTGGACTTTGGGAGTTGCTTGGTGCTAGACTGGTTTTTAATATCTCCAATGCTGCTGTCTCTCCTTCAGCCTTATTAAGAGTTTCTAAAAATTAATTTAGCATGACGAAGTAGTGCCACAGTTTGCACTTATTGTCAAATAATTTACTGAGTCAATGCACTCATTCAAAATCAGAGAATGACATCATACTGACTGTATTGTAGCTTTCACAGCTGAAATTCACAGAATTAAACAGACATGAGGAGGATGAGTTTTCTCTGTTTGTGTCAAGCTTGTATGTGGTGTGAAATCTAGCTCCAATGTTAATCAAGCCTTTTTGATGATGGTTTAAAAACTTCCCTTAATACCCATTAGCATGACAATTTGAAATTTGCTGTGGAGACCAGCTTCAGGGCAGGAAGGAGAAAGCAAAAAAGACCGTCTAAAAGCTCTTTTTAGGGCTGTTTTGAACCAGCAAAAGCACGGTGCCGGTGCTGGGGGTGGCAGCAGCTGGCAGCTGGTGGGCAGGCTGCTGAGACAGCAGGGGTGGAGCTGGCACCGCTCACTCTTATCTCTGTGATTAACCCTGACCCTTTCCCTGTGAGGGTATAAGCAGCCCCCGGGAGGGTGGGAGGGAGCTCCTAACTGCCTGGTGGAAAAAGGGTGTTGCTGCTAACTGGTGTGGGAGGTGGGTCTTTTAACAGGACACATCAGCGTTCTTGTCCTTGCTCAGGTGACCGCTCTGCCACTCGCTGACCCGGAGACTGTAAGATCAAATAAGATCAAACATGGTCTCTAGCAGACGGCGGGCTTGCTCCAAGAAGACTGTGGCGACCCAGACGGAGGGACTGCCCAGAACTGTGGCAGCTCAAGTCTCTGGCTGCAGGGAGTGCCTGAGTCTGCTGCTGCCGGGGACGATGGGAGGGATGGCACCTGCGTGAGGTGCGAGCAGGTGGATGAGCTGCTCAGCCTTGTGGTGGAGCTTAGGGAGGAGGTGGAGAGGTTAAGATCCATTAGAGACTGCGAGAGGGAGACAGACGGGTGGTGTAACTCTCGGCGAGAAACAAGCAGAGATTGCACCTGGGATGCATTAAAAAGAGCATGGCCAGAAGGTGGAGGGAGGTGATCCTCCCCCTCTACTCTGCCCTGGTAAGGCCTCATCTGGAGTACTGGGTGCAGTTCTGGGCTCCCCAGTACAAAAAAGACAGGGATCTCTTGGAAAGAGTCCAGCGGAGGGCCACAAAGATGGTGAGGGGCCTGGAGCATCTCTCCTATGAGGAAAGGCTGAGTGAACTGGGTCTGTTCAGCCTTGAGAAAAGAAGACTGAGAGGGGACCAGGTCTATAAATATCTGAGGTGTGGGGGGCAGAATGGTGAGGCCGGACTTTTTTCAATGGTGAGTGGAGACAGGACAAGGGGAAACGGCTGGAAACTGCAGCATAGGAAGTTCTGCACAAATGTGTGCAAGAACTTCTTTACAGTGAGGTGACGGAGCACTGGAACAGGCTGCCCAGGGAGGTGGTGGAGTCTCCTTCTCTGGAGATGTTCAAGACCTGCCTGGATGCCTACCTGTGAGACCTGCTGTAGGGAACCTGCTTTGGCAGGGGGGTTGGACTCGATGATCTCTGGAAGTCCCTTCCAACCCCTACAATTCTGTGATTCTGTGAAACGATTAGAGCCAGTCTCAATACTTCTGACCTCACTCATGCTGTCTATCTACTTTTCCTGCTATTTCACATACTTAAAATGAACAAATTGCTAATGCATCCTTTTGTGTACATTTGTTAATTAAAAATAAAAAGCAAATGGTGTGTTAGATTTTTAACTGTTCTCTATCTTCTTTTCCCAGGACTTTGCCAAAACTAGATTTACATTTAAAAAAAAATCTTTTTATAGAGTAGTTTCCCTGTTTAGATGCTGATTTTTTCCCTCAGTATTCACATGAATCTTGCTGTTGTTACTTTTGATGCTTAAAATAAACTCAAAAAAGATCAAATTCAGAAAGTTACAAGGAAAAGAAGTTTAAAGCACTAGCCACATGCTAGCACTTGTGGCCATTTAGTGGATGATTTTCACTTTCTCTGTGAGATATCCCTGCCTTTCACTCTCCAGTAATCTCGTGATTGGGGTGCCACCCCTCTTTTGATCACAGTGTGTACTCACATCACCATCCTTTCTGTCTGCACCGGGTCTGGTGCTGGCTGCAGCCTTCTGCTCTCACTAAGCAGCATTCTTGGGTTGGGGTGGGGAGACAGAGGAAGGTGTGCAGTATTGGATCTGACATTCGAAAGGGGCTGGGAGCAGGGGATGAGAAGAAATCCTCTTCTTTGGCTGCAGTGAGTACTTTATTTCAGCTACTTCTTAACTTTCAGCATTGTTGCTTCCATGACCTCCCCCACTTTTTGTACTTGTTGCTGTGCTCAGTGAGCTTTTTCTTCAGATACTTCCTTTAAAATTTCCTCATAAAAGCAACCCAATAAAATAAGTAGTAAGGTCACTTTAAGGCATGCTGAGAGATGGCTGATCCTGTGGGTAGATCTTGTGGGTAGCAACACTGGCCATGAGAGAGCTCAATGGGTCTCTTCCAGCCTTTGCCATCCTATGCTATGGCTGGTGTGCCGAGATTTTGTTGATGAAGTTGGTCTAATGGCTGACTTAGGCCTCAGGTAAATGTTGTGTTCACTAAGGATGGTGATTACTAGTTGTCCAGTACTATGAGGCTAAAGAGGAGGATTTCTCTAAATAGAGGTACAGTCTGTTCTGGCAACAGAATTTCTCCTGTAATCAGTCCTTCCTCCCACCTCTCAGCCTTTTTCTTCCTCCTTCTTTTCAATTCTTTTTTCTTTTTATTTCTCTTTTTTTTTTTCTTTTTTTTTTTTAGCTCTTGATGCTGCTGGAGGTAGATATGAACTTTGCTAGGCCTGTGAGGACTGTCAATATCACTGAGCTATGAAACAGTTGATCCTGGATGCTCCTGTTCTCCAGGGAGGAATAAGTGAGTTAAAACTAGCTCAGGATAGCTGCCCTCCTCAAAGTGCATTCTGTGAGCTGTGTAGTTCTTCTATGAAGGCTGCTTAGGCAATTTGAGGACCCAGTGGCACAGCTGTGTACCTGAAACAAAGGTTGCCATCCAGTTCCCCTCGTGTTGAGATCTTTCCAGCTTTCCCTGCAAAAGTTTGT